GAAACAGCAATCTTAAATGATTCACTAGATCAGAAGGACTTAATTGACATCTTCAGAACATTTCACCACAAAGCTACAGAATATTCCTTCTTCTCCAGTACACATGGGACATTTTCAAAGATAGACCACATATTAGGACACAGGCAAAGTCTCTTTAAATTCAAGAAGACAGAAGTCATACCAAGCATCTTCTCAGGTCGAATGGCATAAAATTAGAAATCAACTATAATAAAAACAATGAAAAAAAAATCAAACACTTGGAGGCTAAATAGCATGCTATTAAACAATGATTGGGCTACAAAAGAGATCAAGAAGAAATAAAAAACCATCTTGGAAACAAATGACAATGAAAACACAACAACCCAAAATTTACGGATACAATGAAAGAAGTCCTGAGAGGGAAGTTCATAGCTCTACAGGCCTACCTATAAAACAAAAAAAAAAGAAGAAGAAGGAAAAATGGTAATAAATTATTTAACCTTGCAACTTAAAGAATTAGTAAGAAAGCAACAAGAAAAGCCCAGAGTAACCAGAAGGAAGGAAATAATAAAGATCAGAGGAGAAATAAATGACATAAAGATAAAAACAAACAAACAAAACACACAAAAGATCAGTGAAACCAAGAGCTGGTACTTTGAAAGGATAAAGAAGGTTGATGAACCTCTAGCCAGACTCACCAAGAAGCAAAGAGAGAGGACCCAAATAAACAAAATCAGAAATGAAAGAGGTGAAGTAACAACTGACCCCATAGACATTCAAAGGATTGTAAAAAAATACTACAAACATCTCTATTCCAACAAACTGGACAACCTCAATGAAATGGACATATTCCTAGAAAAATACAACCTTTCAAAACTCAATCTAAAAGGATAAAAAAACCTGAATAGGCTGATAACCACAGATGAAATTGAAACAGTAATCACAAAAGTCCTGGACTGGATGGCTTCACAGGGGCGTTTCACCGTACATTCAAAGGAGAACTAAAACCTATCCTTCTCCATCTATTCCAAAATATTCAAGAGGAAGGCACAATTCCAAGCTCTTTCTATGAAGCCAGCATTACCCTAACCCCAAAACTAGATAAAGACATGACAAAGGAAGATAATTACAGGCCAATATCCCTGATGAACATAGATGCCAAGATCCTCAACAAAATTCTAGCAAACCGGATCCAGAATTGCATTAAAAAGATCATACACCATGACAAAGTGGGATTTATACCAGGGATGCAAGGCTGGTACAATATCTGCAAATCAATAAATGTGATACATCACATAAACAACTGAAAGACAAAAATCACATAATCATATCAATTGATGCAGAAAAGGCATTTGACAAGATCCAACACCCTATTCTGATAAAAACTCTCAGCAAAGTGGGAATAGAGGGATCATACCTCAACATAATAAAAGCCTTATATGACAAACCTACAGCCAACATCATACTCAATGGGCAAAAACTAAAAATATTTCTCCTAAGAACAGTAACAAGACAGGGATGCCCTCTTTCACCACTCCTGTTTGACATAGTACTAGAAGCCCTAGCCATAGCGATCAGAAAGAAGAAGAAATAAAAGGCATCCAAATTGGAAACGAGGAAGTAAGATTGTCATTATTCGCAGATGGCATGATATTGTACATCGAAAACCATAAAGACTTTATCAAAAAAACTACTAGACTTAATAAATGAATTCGGCAATGTAGCAGAACACCCAGAAATCTATGGCTTTTTAATACACCAATAATGAACCCACAGAAAGAGAAACTAAAAAAAATCCCATTTACAATTACAACAAAAAATTAAGATATAGGAATAAATTTAACCAAGGAGGTAAAGGACCTGTACTCAGAAAATTACAGGACACTTTAAAAAAAGATAGAGGAAGACATAAACAAATGGAAGACAATACCATGTTCATGGATTGGTAGAATCAACATCATTAAAATGTCTATATTACCCCAAGCAATCTATAGATTCCATGCAATCTCCATTAAAATACCAACGGCATATTTCAAAGACCCAGAACAAATTCTCCAAAAATTCATCTGGAGTAAAAAAAGACCCCGATGCCGAAACCGGTTTGGCTCAGTGGATAGAGCATTGGCCTGCGGACTGAAGGGTCCCAGGTTCGATTCTGGTTAAGGGCATGTACCTGGGTTGCAGGCACATCCCCAGTGGGAGATGTGCAGGAGGCAGCTGATCGATGTTTCTAACTCTCTATCTCTCTCCCTTCCTCTCTGTAAAAAAAAATCAATAAAATATATATATATATATAAAGACCCTGAATAGCTGCAGCAATACTGAGAAAGAACAAAGTTGGAGGGATCATAATACCAGATATCAAGCTATATTACAAAGGGACTGTTCTCAAAACTGCCTGGTACTGACACAAGAACAGACACACAGACCAGTGGAACAGAACAGAGAACCCAGAACCTAACCTAAGCCATTATGCTCAATTAATATTTGAACAAAGCTACTGTTCTCAAAACAACCTGGTCCTGGAACAAGAACAGGCATATAGATTAATGGAACAGAACAGAAACCCCAGATTTTGAACCACACCATTATGCTCAATTAGTATTTGACAAAGGAGGCAAGAGCATACAATGGAGTCAAGACAGTCTCTTTAATAAATGGTGTTGAGAAAATTGGACAGATACTTGCAAAAAAAAAAAAAAGAAAGAAAATAAAAGAAACTAGACCACCAACTTACACCATACACAAAAATAAACTCAAAATGGATAAAGGACTTAAACTTAAGAAGGGAAACCATAAAAATCTTGGAAGACTCCACTGGCCGCAAAATAGTAGACATATGTTGTAGCAATATTTTTACTGATACAGCTCCTAGGGCAATGGAAACAAAGGAGAAACTAAACAAATGGGACTACATCAAAATAAAAAGCTCTGCACAGCAAAAGAAACCATCAACAAAACAACAAGAAAGCCCACTGCATGGGAGAACATATTTGCCAATGTTATCTTCGATAAGGGTTTAATCTCCAACATTTACAGGGAAATCATACAACTCAACAAAAGGAAAATAAACAATACAAACAACAAATGGGCAAAGGACCTAAATAGAATCTTTTCGAAAGAGGACACTCAGAAAGCCAAGAGACACATGAAAACATGCTCAAAGTCACTAATCATCCGAGAGATGCAAATCAAAACAACAAGAATGGCTATCATCAACAAATCAACAGATGACAAATGCTAGCAAGGATGTGGAGAAAAAAACCTTCGTTCACTGCTGGTGGGAGTGCAAACTGGTGCAGCCACTGTAGAGAACAGTATGGAGTTTCCTCAAAAAACTAAAAATGGATCTTCCATTTGACCCAGTGATCCCACTTCTAGGAATATATCCCAAGAAACCAGAAACACCAATCAGAAAGGATATATGCACCCCTATGTTCATAGCAGCACAATTTACCATATCTAAGATCTGGAAACAGCCTAAGTGCCCATCAACAGATGAGTAGATTAAAAAACTGTGGTACATCTACATAATGGAATACTACACTGCTGTAAAAAAGAAGGAATTCTAATCATTTGCAACAGCATGGATGGAACTGGAGAGTATTATGCTAAGTGAAATAAGCCAGTCAGAGAAAGATCAATATCACACGATCTCACTCGTTTGTGGAATAGAATGAATATAAACTGATGAAAAAAATAGAACCATAGACACAGAAGCATTGAACAGACTGTACAACCTGAGGGAAGGCTGGGGATGAGGGGGTAAGAGATCAATCAAAGTACTTACTTGCATGCATATGAGCAAAACCAATGGACACAGACAGTAGGGGGTGTGAGGGCTTGTGCTTATAGGTGGGAGTGGCGGGGAGAGGTCAATGGGGGAAAAAGGAGACTCATGTAATACTTTAAACAATAAAGAATTTAAATTAAAAAACAAAACAAAAAACTCTTCCTCCTCGCCACAATTTTCCTTATATATGTATGAGAACGAATTCCATCCAAACATTAAATTATAAGTAGTTTGCAATCCACTTTAATTATCTCTGGTCTTTGCTTTACCTTCAAGATGTGGTGTCTCCAACTTTTCTTACAATGTAAATTAGTAGTTATGAACAATATAAGCTAATCAATAGTTTTTACTATTAAAACTCCTAAGCCCTTTCTCTTCTAAGTAAACTAGTAGAGTTCTTCCCTAACTTTTAAATTGAATGATTATATTTATACCATAAATGTTTGATAACTCCCTGAGGCATACGACTGTACATATTTATAAATGTTAATTTTTTCTCAATATATGATGGAAAACATTGCTCATTCATATTAACCTTTGACTTTTAATTGTCTTGGCTTAAAATATTTTGCGATTTGGAAATACACACAAAAATATCTTGTTAGTTTAGTTCAAGGAAAGCATGAGAAATTCATAAAAACAAAACAAAAATGTTTTTAAAGTCATAGATTATTAATATAGTCATTGAAGACATCACATTATACATGTACTGTGTTGCAGTGGTTTTCAAACATTTTGGTCTGAATATACCTTTATGATCCTAAAAATTATTAAGAACTCAAAATAAAAATATTATGTATTATCAATATTGACTGAATTAAAACAGAAAGCTTAAAAATATTAATTACTTTATAAAAATAAAATTTCAAGTTAACAGAAATTATATTTTTACAAAAAATACCGTTTTTCCAAAAATAATAGTGAGAACAATGGCACTGTTTTATATTTTAGCAAATCTCATTAAAACCTGGCTGAAAAGACAGATTTTTCTATCTGATGTGCATTCATTCTACCACAATGTCACATGACATGTTGCCTCTAGAAAACCCCACTGTATACTTGTGAGAGAATAAGAATAAAAAGATAAATAACTTCTTATTATGAAAGTAGTTTAGACCTCCCTGTGAAGGGTACTGTGAACCCCAGGGTTCCCTGAGGTACACTTTAAAAAACTGCTGCTTTATCGAGCTATTTGCAACTGCTTTTCTTTCTTACATTATAAACTTACATGTCTCCATGCCTTCATCATCATCATCCACTGTGGGTTTATCGTAAGACTTGTCAATGGCAGCTCTGAAGCTCTCATTGCACCCCCTTCCTCTGATTATCCGAGGTCGTGGGCGATGGAAAGGAATATCCCCATTCAAAGTCACCTCAGCCACTGCTGTCTGAAGACTTTCTAATGAGCTTGACTTCTTCAGACCTAGGGAAGGCCCCACATCTCTGCTGGGGGAACCTTGGAGGGTTACAAAAATAAAATGTTAATTAGAATTAGTGGTGGAATTTATATTCCTGAACATTTATAAATTAAGGAAAAAATTAAGTCATTTTTATTTTTCCCAAATAGATATTAAATTTTGTCTATTTTCTTTATTTTTATGAGGTAAAACTTTAAGCTTTAAGTTATTAATTTCCATTTTAAGCCCAAGTGAAATTTTTGTCAAATCATCTGCTCCTAGTTATGTAAATAACCTAAAAGAACCAGAATAACCCAAAGGCTCACTAGTAGAGCACAAATAATGAGAAGGCTAAGGTAAGCAACCAAGAGTACTCTTTTTAACTTCACTGAAATTAGTTTTTGATAGTTCAAAATTTGGAAATATATTTCGAATTTTTAACAGAAGTTACACTTTCATATCAATGAGCTCCATCAAGTACAGTGCATGTTCACAACTTATACTTAAAGAGAGCACAAAAGACTACATGTCACCGATACCATAAGGGCACCCTGACACCAGGCTGAAACCTCGTTCTGGGCAGTATTAACATTCCATGGAAAGAATCAATACAAGACTTGAACAGAAACAAATTACATAAGGGCTCGCCCTAGATAGAGGTAACAAAGGAGAGACTGAAGAGCTGACATGAGGAGTTAAGACTTTCAGGCCTGGAAATAATATCTCCTTGAGAAATAAGTGCTAACCAATTACCAAAAAACTTTTCAGTAAGATGGAGGGAAGAACTCAGAGAATTCACAATTTGCCCCTATTTCTTGAGATAGAGGGCAGAAAGGCCTGAGATAACACCAAGAGTACCATGCTTTAGAAGGCAATCAACACAGATTTCTTTAAGTAGGTAAGCAAGTGTCATCCATCACTGCCTAACTTGGGGCTTAAAAGTAGATAAATTTAGGCTCTAGATTACTCAAGTACCTGCTTTGTACTACCACATTGGAAATCTAAGTTACAGAATTAGTTCTTCACGTACATGATTAGAAAGACTCGTGCAAACAAATGGGCACATAGGAGAGACTAGTTTGTCTCTAGATGGGTCATCAGCCCCTAGATTGATTAAAAATTCAGGAGTAGCTTTGGTAAGGTATTATTAAAAGACATATGGTGATGACATAGGTTTTTTATGGCTCAGAGTGTAAAGCTGAGTAAAAATTGAATTCAGAGTCAAAACAAGAATTATCTTTTTAAGATTCATTTACATTACATATTCACCTAATTTTCACAATGAGATGGCAATTTTAAGTTTAAATATGTTAAAAATGTAACAGGCAAAAAGACAGGCAGATGATTCCAATGAAGAAATATTATCCCGTAATTATTGTGCTTGGGAAGAAAAAGATGATTTATTTAACTTTCTCAATGTAGGTGTGCATATATATAGATTATTTTATGACAAAAATTCACATAAACTATTTCTTTCCAGAATGATCAATAATACTTTTTCTCTTGATAACATTAGTATAACTTTTGACAAGTTTGTGTTCTAAATACCCATAAAAGCTATGTCACAGGATGGAAACAAATTTTGTTCCAAGTAACTGAACAAAAAATTAAGAAATCAAGGAACCAAAATGAATAAAGCAAATATTTGGTGATTTCTTGGTTTCAAAAAATGCACAAAATAAACTGATGAACATTTATAGATCCAGCGACATACAAGCATAGAACAGACAAGAACTTCAGAGGGAAGGTGTGGGTGGGGGGAGAGATTAACTGGGGAACTTATATGCATGTATGCATAGCCCATGGACACAGACAATTGTGTAGTGAAGGCCTAGGAGGGGCTGGTGTGGGGTTTGAGAGGCTCAATGGGAAAAGAAAACAAAGGGGACATCTGTAATACTTTCAATAATAAAGATAAATTTAAAAAAATAATAAAAAATAAAAACTTGGAAGAAATATCCTTGGGTGATAGTTAACAAAAAATAAATTTTAAAAATACATAAATGCAGGCAAATCTGGGAAGCAAAACAAAGTATAACTAAACAAGCAATAGATATTTTGTAAGTGTAAATCAGAGGTTATACTGTAGAATAACATTTTAACAAAATGTTGATAATTATCAATGGTGTGTATGGGATATATGACAGATCAATGAACTACTGTCTCTATATTAATATATGGTTAAAAATTTTCACAATAAAATATTATAAAAACAAAGCATCTATAATTTGTGAATCTATAACAGGGATCAGTAGATCTGGGGTCAAATCTGGAAAAAAATTTTGAAACAAGCCTTGCCTGTTTGTTTACATATATTTTATAGCTGCTTTATGTTACATCAGAATTAAGTAACTGCTATAAAGGCCTATGTAAATATTTACTATCTGGTCTTTTACAGAAAGAGCTTGCTAATTCTTGATCTGTAAAATTGTTATTATTCACCTAAGTATTATATTTGTCAAAGAAACTTTAACAAAGGTTTAGTTAACTAATGTGTTTAAATTCCTGGATGAGGGTTAGTGAGATCCCTAATATTAAAAATTCCACATTTACTAGTAAGGAAAATTGAAAATTTGTTTGGGCAAAGAATTAGTGGTATTTACAAAACACAAAAAAATCAATTATCTTTTCATTTTTAAATAATATTTAAAGCTCCTTATATAAATCTTTTAGTCCATTCGGATACTTTATTTTTTCTATTCAAGGATTAAACTGTTAGCAACCCAATTATCTTCTAATTCCTGTCCTCTCTTTTCTTTCAGAAAGTAAATTTACCTCCCAAATATCACAAAACCCGTAATTCCATGAATTAAATGAAAATAACAATCACACTGTTTTCCCTAGGTCTCGTTTTCTGTTCCTACCCATCTTGCTGAAGAACAAGTAGAGAATGTATTTTGCAAGGGCAAAGAGAAATGGAATTCAGTTTTCATTATAAAAGGCTTATGGCTAGACTGACAATCTATGCTAAAAATGTCACTATGTCTCTACCAAAAAACTCTGGACTAAACTATAAAATCATGATAATCTTAAAAATTCAAGTGAAGTGAAATGAGAATAATAACTGAAAATTTGTAGTCTATATAGTAATTTGTTTTTTGTCCCAGTCCAAGTTTTTCCAATTTAATTTATAGGATGGACTGCACATCCTATATAATAATAATAAAAGGCTAATATGCACATTGGCTGAACGGCAGAATGACCGGTTGCTATGATGCCCACTGGTCACCAGGGGGCAGACACTCAATGCAGGAGCTCCCCCCTGGTCGTCAATGCACTTCCATATGGGGAGTGCCACTTAGCCAGAAGCTAGCTCATGGCTGGTCAGCGCAGTGGTGGTGGCAGGAGCCTCCATCCAGCACTAAGAATGTCCAACTAGCGGTTTAGACCCGATCCCTTGGGGGCCTAAGCCTTTAGTTGGACATCTCCTGAGGGCTCCCTGGCAGCTAGAAGGATGTCTGACTGCAAGCTTAGGCCGGATCCCCTGGGGAGTGGGCCTAAGTTGACAGGTGGACAGCCCCCAAAGGGTCCTGGACTGTGAATGGGCGCAGGCCGGGCTGAGGGACTCGCTACACTCCCCCTCCCCCCGCCAGTGCACAAATTTTTGGGCACCGGGCCTCTAGTAGTAAATAAAGAGAAAAAAAGCTCTTTATATCTAGGATGTTAAAACACTATAAACACGATTCAATTAAGGTGATAAAATTTCCCTTCTCACCATGAAAGTTATTTAATCTGAATATCATTATATTTTAATCACAATGAATTGTTCTATTCTTTTTTAGTAGTAGTGAGTTGTTTAAATTAAGTATTTTCCTTTACTTTACCTAATTGTCATAATGTAAAAATTCATGGTCTTTATTGAATTTTTTCACTTTGGTTTTTATGAACATTAATTTGGACAGAAGTTACTTCCTAAAAGTACTGTAAAATAATATCTCCAAAAACTAATAATTATTTTACATATGGAAACTATCAAAAATGATTTTCTTTCGCCTTAGTTCAAAATTTAAATGAATTTTGTTTGATAAAAGAAAAAAACTACTTACTAATAGCTGAGCTATAGTCAATTGCTTTGCACTACAGTGGATCCATGATTTATTGGATATAATTTTTACAATCTATCTTTTACTCTACAGATTGTGAAAACTCCAATTCACAATCATCTTTACATAGATATGTGGGATACAGATTTTCAAACCAATTACTACTATAGGTTAAAAAGGTGAATTGAACCTAATTAGTGGTAAGTGGTATAACTGCTACATCATACTTGATTTAGAATAATTAAAACACTATTCTCAATTGTACAAAGCACATTACTTTAATTGTAAATAAAAACTTTCCTTTTATTATTTTCATAAAATAACATAAAAAGTAAAATATACTATAATGCAAAATCCCAGTTCAATATAACCAATTGTTTCTATGGAATAATTTAGAAAGCATTTTGAAGTTATCCTAAATAGTTAACAAAACAACAACAAAAACTTTTATTATTTTATTTATTTATTTACTAGAGGCCGAGTGCACAAAATTCATGCACTTGGGGGGGGGGGTTGTTTCTCAGCCCAGCCTGCACCCTTTCCAATCTGGGACCCCTTGCGGGATGTTATTACCTCTTTATTATATAGGATTAATCCTCACCTGAGGATATTTTTCCATTGATTTTTAGAGAGAGTGGAAGAGAGGGAAAGACACAGAGAGAAACATTGATTATGCACCATAACCAGGGCCTGGGCCAGGGAGGAGCCTATAACCATGTGACCAGAATCACACCTGGGACCCTTTGGTCTGCAGGCAAAGCTCTATCCACTGAGCCAAACCGGCTAGAGCACAAAAACTTTTAAACAGGTTCACAAAGTTAAGATAAGGAGCAATATATATTATACAGTCTAATTTCAATGTCAGGTAACTATGAGCTAATTCTTGCATTAGAAAAAAAAGGTTTTCTGAGTAAATAATGATAGCAATTATTAGACAATGTCCTTCGATGACAAATATTTATACTTGTGCTATTATTACCCTTCAAATAAAAGTCACCACTTTGAAAGTATTTCTTTGGATGTTAATCTAGGCAAAAGAAATAACTTAAAAACAAGAATCTATCCAAGAGATCATGTCTTCAGGATTTTGATTTTTCTTAAATTGTTACAAAACATTCTTACACAAATATAATTTAAAAAATCTAGATTGTTTAAGCATTTTTGAAGCACTAAATTACATTTCCATTTAGATGTACTACACTGATAAATTTCTCCTAACAGAAACTTTTTCTTCTTGTATAATTTGATTTCCTACAATGAAAACATCCATGCAAGACTGAAGTATTTATGTGTACATACAATATGATTGGCAGCTCTATAATTACGATAAGCTCCTTGGACCACAGTTTCTATGGCAACAGTTTAATGGTCCATTCTTACCTGCTTTCTGGTCATCCACTGTACTGAGTTTAGTCTCGTCAGCTACTGTTAAAAGGTAAATGTATAAATGGTTAGCCCAGTTAGTCCCACAGCCCAACATGCTTCAACCATTTCCAGATCTTTTCAGTTATGTGATAATCCTTAGGTAATATTTCATGCAAATAATATGAAAACTCAAGCAAATATATATAATCAAAAGGGCGGGGGGAAGCAGTGTCTCCATGCAATATGCCATTCATTTCATTTCACAGACATGTAATGTTATTTATGTTAGCATATCATAATTAGCCAAAGCAATGTATTGCCAAATTTTTCTTTTATGCATGTAAAATTTAATTAATTTAAATTAATGCTTTTAGTCTTGAAGTATAAAAAGCCACCAAGGAATAGCATAAATAAGTTACAGTTGATGAACAAAGGGTTTAAAAATCATTCAATCAGTTTACAGGCATGATTATTTTATTTATTTGTTTGTTTGTTTGTTTGTTTTGGTAGATTAGAATTTAAAAAGAGACACTACCTGATTGGTGTTTGATTGAATAACTATGGTTATTTTCCTGCTCTCATTTGCTTCAAATACTTTCTACAATAGTCTCTCAAATTATTATTTAATTAAATGCCTTTCTTATCAACACATGAGAGTTTCTATTAAATAAACCTTAAAGAATAGCATTAAAGGAAAATATGAAGTACCCAAATTCTAGACATGGATTGAGATAATGATTTTTCTCCAAAACTTTTTTCTTTTAGTTCAGAATGCCAAAACCAAACAAATATTATTTCAATGAAATTGGTTTTAAACAGCCAGTGTTAAAACATTTCATTGCTTCAAATAAAGATACATGAATATATCTTTTCATGTATGATATACACATGTGTTTGTTTCTTTTCTCATCAGAAAACATAAATATTAACATATTGCACATTATATAAACATGCCATTTATTAGAAATATTTTATCTCAAACTCAGAGAAAAATTAATTTTTGCCAAATTATCACATTTCACATTTATTTTCTCTATTGCTCCAAGTAAACAACATGTATTTGGGACCATCAATTTTAATATGAAAGCATCTATTTAGATAAAGATTCATGGAGACTGTACTCACTACCTAAATCCATGCTTTTTGATTTTCGTGTTTTAACGATATCCAATTGACTGGCATCTGAAAATTGCTTTGTGCGTTTTTCTGACATACTCTGGCGTCCAAATCCTTCTCGTTGAAAAGCAAGAACTGGATCAACATCTGGACTCAAAGAGCTGGTGTGAAAAGAAAGAAAAACATAAACATATTTACTAAAAATAGAAGACATTCAATTTAGGAAAGTTCATATATACCTGTGTGTATGAGTATGTACATATGTATATTCCTCAAAAATATTTAAACTAAATTACACAAATATAATACATTTTTTTAAAAAACTGTGGCTGTATAGTAATAGGAAAATACAACATTAATTTACATTTAGTAATTCTTTCTCCATGTGAGTTCTCTCCTCTTCTACTTCCCTCTGACATTTTCCTCACTCTACTTGACAATGCATTATTATTTTTAAGTGATTATCAAAAATAAGCCTTATATCTTTTAGACATTAAAATGATTGAAAATTTCAGGAAACTTTTCATATATTAATACAAATATTGGCAGCAAACAAGTAACTATATAAATTGAAAATGAATAGACATTTTAAAAAACATATATGTATTCTGGTCTTCTTATATATCCTTTATCTGGGGTTACAGAAAAGAAAAAAAAAGCACCTATGGCATGTAGTTTCATAAGGATGTAGTTTCTCTGCAATACTTAATCAAACTGAGAAGGTCAACTCAACAAAATCTTTATTAGAACCTATTCTGATTAAGGCATCTTGCTGGGTACAAAAATTAAAAGGTCTCTGATCTCACCTCGCTGGCGTGGCTCAGTGGTTGAGCGTTGACCTATGAACCAGGAGGTCATGGTTCGATTCGCCGTCAGGGTACATGCCTGGCTTGCAGGCTCGATCCCCAGTGTGGGGCATGCAGGAGGCAGCTGATCAGTGATTCTCTCTCATCATTGATATTTCAATCTCTCTCTCTCCCTTCCTCTCTGAAATCAATAAAAAAATATATTTTTTTTAAAAAGAAAAATATCTCTGATCTCTGAGTTCCTAAGAAAAATACCAAACCAGAAGTATATAGCAGAAGCTGTGACTGCATAGATGAGAGAATAAACAGTATTTGAGGAAGCCAGAAAAAACATGACTTAGACTAGATGATATTTGATATGGTCATACCAACACAGTGACTGAAGCAGAGATGATGAAGTATATGGCAAACCATTGCAACAGGATACAGTTTGATGTGTTTTCCCAATGGAAGTGGCAGGGATGATAGGAAATCACCTCTATTTGTAAAAACTTGTAAAGACTTTAAAAAGCATCTCAGGTTTTCTGAGCACAGCGCATACAATGAAAATCATTTTCCTCTGGGTACACCGAGAAAATAAATAGCTTTCCTATGTCAGTGCTGTGCCACCTTACCTATCTGACCAGGTAGCAGAACGTGCCTCCCCAGTTAACTAATCTACTGGAATGTGAGGGGATCACTTCCACTATGTCAGCTGGGTTTATAACAACCTTCCTTATGCTCCTGACAGAAGCAAGCTTCATGAGCCTTTTTTGAGAATTTTCCTCCATATTGGGAAAAGGATAGTGATCTAGTTTGGATATGTATCAGAAATTAAGTTACAACTTACTGAGCATAAAATAACTGGCTCTTACAGAGTAGCTAAACCAAAACTGATGAAAAGGAAGACATCAAGGAAAATGCTCTGATGTCAGGCTAAGTGAACTGAAATGTATTGCCCACATGTGAGAACACTAGTTGCTTCATCCATCTCACAAGGCCCATGAAAGAATTCAATGACATAGGTGAAAGCCCTTTGTAAATTGCAAAACCCTACACAAAATAACTTATTACTGCCCAATAAAGACTTTCTCAAATTATAAAGATAATACAAAATATGATAATGGAAATAGGATCCTTAAAAACAACACAAAGGAATACTCTTTCTCAATCTTTTCCACCAAATACAAAGCAGGCCCCTAGAATGAGGCAAGGTACATGCCTAGGGCTCTGAATTTAAGGCAGCACTCAATCTCAGGGCCATGCAAGTTCAGGGTTGGAATCTGCGAGTGAGTGCCTCCTTACATTTTGAACCCTGGGCAACTACCTTGCCTCACCCTAGTCCTGGCCCAGGTACTGAAAAAGGACATACCCAGAGATTGGGAGGTGAGCCCAAGGCAATAACAATGTATTTTTGTTTTTGTTTTGTAAAACACCATCATATATATGCCCTAATGAAGTTATTTTGTTTACATTCTACACTAACTCTTTCAATTTTTAACATATATTTTCCTATAAAACTTTGAATAAATTCTTTTATCTTAAAGCCTTATGTGCCCATTCACATCCAAGGATGCTTACAGGCAGCTGATATTTGAACAACACTGGGGTTACTGGAGCAAACCCACCTCCCCACCCCCACCTATCCGTCAAACATCCATATGTAATTTTTGAATCCCCCAAAACTTAAGTTGTCCCTCAGTATTCATAAAGATTGGTTCCAGGACCCTCCACAAGTACCAAAAATCCATGGATACTTCTCAATATAAAATGGTGTACAGCAATCATATTGTCAGCCCTCTGTATCTGCAGACTCCCAATCACAGATGGAAAACAGTACAGTATTTATTGGAAAAAAAAAAACTATGTTAAGTGGACCCATGATGTTCAAGGGTCAACTGTACTGTGTATGTAGGTATGTACAGAAATAGTGAGCATTAGATATATAATTGTATATTATTTATGCATATTTCATAAATATATATGCTTGTATGTTATGCTTACATAGTAGTATTCAGATACTACTATGCTTACAATTTCCAGAGCACACACATCCCAACATAATTACACAGTCCTAGAAGTGAAAAATTAAAACCCATATAATAATTAAAATCCAATCAGTAATGAAAAACTCTAAATAGTACACTTTTAATAAAATTACTTTTTATATGTTGAAAGTTGATCTCTTCAACCATTCTGCATATGTTTGTTTGTTTTAGTATCATGTGGAATATTTTAAAACCTAAACTCCAATAAGGTATCAAATTGATGAACAGAATGAATTTGAAATACAATTTTAATAAAATTACTAGTAAAAATTTTTTCAAAGAAATACAAATTGTTATTGCTAATGTTATTTGAAAACTACATATTATCATATTTCATAAACTAATTTTATATCCTCTAAAGTTATGTTGTCATTAAAATTAGAATGTACTGTTTTCCCCATAAACCATTGTTAATGTTCCCTAAATCAACTAATGGATTGAAAATATATTCTATTAGTTAACAAATTAAAATTTTAGCCATTTGACATAGTCATCCTTCCAGTACAGTGAACTGTAAACACACACAATTTAAAATATCAAATGAGTTGGTGAATTAATGAGTCTTAATATAACTAAATATTCTTAAACCATGACATATTAATTCTTCCCTATCAATAGACCCATTAAACTACTTTCAGACACAATAAACAGTACAGTAGAATACTTAACAAGTTAGATTTCAGGACTAACAGCTGACTCTTTAAAGAATGTAACCATATCCTGACCCCCAATGTTATTAAAATTCCAGTTATTAATCCTGTCTTATTTCCCTTTTGTTTTTGTAACATTTTCATCAAGGATTAGGGAGATATTGTCTGGCTGAAAAGCTTACATTTTCTGCTGTGATTCAGAACAGCTGCCATTCTTGTTTAGATAACCCTTTATTCATATTGTTTTCCTTGCCCCACTTCCTGCCATTTCAGGAATCCCTTTGGGGAAGACAATGCCACAATTAATCCCTGCTAGTTATTTATTTACTTTCACCAACACAAAGCCCCCCATGGATCTATTCCTCTGCCACCTTCACAATTTCTCATCATGGTGGAGATTCAAAGGCTTTTGTCCCTAAGATGAATGCTTTTCCCTGTTGTTGCTCTCACTTCAGAAAGATAAAATCTGCAGCAGCAAATGTAAAGGCATCTGTGGAGTTCAAATAGGAGTTTACTTTACACTTGAACTTCCCCTCCAAGTTGAACCAAAAAACACATTCAGGTAATTATTATCATGGGGGCTCGATTGGAGGTCTATTTTTATTGATTTTTTTTTTTTCTTTAAAGAGAGGAAGGGAGAGGGATAGGAGAGATAGAAACATCAATGATGAGAATCATTGATCAGCTGCCTCCTGCATGCCCCCTACTGGGAATCCAGACTGCAACCTGGCATGTGCCCTGATGGAGGAATTGAACCAGCGACCTCTTGGTCGATGCTCAAGTGCTGAGTCACACTGGCTGGGGTGGAGGTCTATTTTTAAATCCTGTGTTTCAATAAGAGAATTGAGAGAAAGAGAGAGAGAGAGAGAGAGAGAGAGAGAGAGAGAGAGAGAGAGAGAGAGAGAGAAAAGGGGAGGGGAAAAGGGAGGGGAGGGGAGGAAAAAAGATAGATAAGGACTTTTCAAGGGTGCAAATAAAAAGTTGTTCTCAAAGAACACTGACCCATGGAGAACTAACCCATGACCCAGCTGTGTTTTCTTGAGCTCATGAGAGGAATGGGGGAAGAGGACTGTGGGGGTTGTTCATTTTGTTAAGGTCATCACTAAAATGTTAACACAAATAAATGCCAGTCACCAGGACTCCTCCTATCTAATATTTAATGTTGATGCAAGTCTAAGGAAGAGGAGGTAACAGAAATGGTTAAGTGGTGAAGGAACGATACTATAATATTAAAATATAATTTTGCTGATGTATTCCATAAAGATCCCAGAGAAAGGGCAATGAGAAAATTCTGGTATAATGCTTCACACAGTTTGTGTTAATTATCACTACAATCTTACAAGGTCATCGACAAGCAGCACTTTCCTATTGTTTATTGATTTATATAATTGCTAGGCATGCAAATTAAAACCCTAATCCACATTCATGGACCACACATTCACTCAATAATATCAAAAGCTTACTTCAATTTTGAAAGATATAGGAGAAAAAAATAGCATCAGACTGCCCCAAAGTCACAATGCTACAAGCAAGAACTGGGGGACTGGCTGAAAGAAGGTGAAGGGATTAGCCAAAAAATATATATATACATAGACACAGGCAACAGTGGGAACAGCCAGAGGGAAGTGGGGGTGAAGGTGGGCAAAAGGTGGTGGGTGCACGATACAGTGAGCAGATGATGTTTTATTGAGTTGTACACTTGAAACCTGTATGGTTTTGTAAACCAATGTCACACCAATAAATTCAATTAGAAAGAAAAATAAAAGCCCATGAAAAATGAATAGTATAGCTACAGCACTCTTAAAATAAATCTTCCCATTCTCAGAACATATCAACTATTAATTTGGCCAATGTCATCTAATTATGACAAATTTGAGTTACCTTAGAGATTTGCTTAAAATTTATTTACTTAATAGAAAAACAATTCATCAAATTGACACTGATAAAATATAATAAATAGTAAATTAACAAATGAATAGGGTTTTCTGGTTAGTGGTAGTTTTGTTACTGTTTTGGCTAAATTATTATACAGCTCTGCAAAGGCTAAAACAATTGGGCAAGTTTATAGGCTTTGAGAAAATTTTTAATTAAAAGAGTGATAATTAATAAGAGTATTCAAACCATGAAAACAGAACACTCCTATAAAAAAAAAAAAAAAGATTAACTGTGCTCAGTGATGGGCTTTTAAAAACACAGATAAACTGTGACTATAATTCACTAATGTCTTCTATTCCGTGGAGTGTGAACTTACCAGTCTGCTGAATCACTGATTGCAGCCTTAGCCCAGGGGCCAGGGTCTGTTGTCATGAAGCCCACATCATCATGAGAGCTGGAAGATGACTGGTCGGAGAGATGTGGAGGAAGCACTGGTACCCTGTCATCTTCTATAATGACAGTATCATCTTGGGGCATATTCACTGTGGGGGACAGCTGGTATTTACCTGTCCAGTAAAAAAAAAAAAAGAAATTCTAGACTCGTGTTAAGTGTTAATGTGCATTAATACTTTGCTACATCAGAAAAAAAACAAACTAAATTTCCAAACATCTGTTCAACCTGATAGAACAAAATTTAATTAAGGCAATTTATTTTTCATAGATGAATGTCAAATGGAGACCTCAAGTTTATTCCTTCCTCTACCACCAGAGCTATGTAGCTCTGATCAGAGTACTCAATTTCTCTGGTTTTAAGTTTCATAAAGCCAGAGATGATCTCCAGAATGTCTTCTAATGTGAAAATGATACATAGTTTCTACATTATGAAAGTCCTTTGAAATTTTTTACCAGGAAACTTAGAGGGAAGCCCTGCAGACTTATAGCAACCATTCACCCATTCATTCATGTAGTAGGTATATAAGAAAGACTTAATTTCTGCCCCTAAATTGTTCAAACCCTAGAGAAGGAGATAGACATTTAAAAGTTGAGAACTGATTGGTGCTATGAGTGACGTGCCAGAAGTGCTGTGCCATTCTCTAGTGCTGTTACTGCCTGGGTAACTAGAGACAGAGGATGCTCAGCATCTTAACAAAGGTTAACATCAGAGTTGGGTTTTGAATGATTAATAAGGTCTTTTTCATCGGCAGGATCATCATTCAATACATGAAGCAGAAATGCCCATGGTACATTCAAGTGATGCTTCAAAGATGAGCACATGCAGAATAAAGGCTTTGGGGGAAGATGGCACAATTGATCTTGAAAAGTAAAGGTTTATCTGAGCCCTAGCCGGTTTGGCCCAGATAGAGCATAGACCTGTTCGATTCTGGTCAAGGGCAAATACCTTGGTTGCAGGCTCCTCCCCAGCATGGGCCCTGGTCGGGGCTCATGCAGGAGGCAACCATTCGATGTGTTTCTCTCACATAGATGTTTCTCTCTGTCTTTCCCTCTCCCTTCCACTCTCCCTAAAAATCAATGGGAAAATATCCTCAGGTAAGGATTTAAAAAAAAAAAAAAAAAGAATCTGACTGCCCAGGGATTTTCAGCCCAAGACAGGGCAGAGTATAGTTTTGATTTATTCAATTAGGATATAGTGTTCTTGGTAAGTAAAGACCCAAAACTGTCTACACTTATCAGTTTTTTTCAGGAAAATCTGCTCAGGTTCACAGATCAGCATGACAGGTATTTACATTTCTTAGGATAAAATTATGATTCCAGGCCCTAAATCCTTAAAGATAAAGCTAGGGTCCAAATGATGCCATTTTCCTCCCCAAAATGCCTACTGTTCTTCTGGCTAACTACCAAAACCTTGTGCCATAATTATGAGAAAGAACTGTGAACCAAGCTTTAAAACACATGAATACTTTGTGGGAGGTCATGCGCACAGAAATCTGTAGCATGGATGATATGGACCCACTGGCCTGGCTTTTCCAACAAAGCAAGGAAAATAGACAATTTCCCTATCACCTTACAAGAGAATGAGAAAACTCTCATTTTAACTCCAATGTCCAAATCTGTTAAATCAGCTATACTAGTTCTTATTACCATTAAAATTGATTAGCCACCATTTTACAGAGAGTACACTTTCCCTGAATTATAAAGCATTGCTTAAAATAGCACAAGAGCAATGTGTAGAAATTCTATTAACATTTTAACATTGATCTTATGATTTAAATTTTAAAGTAAATGATAATTTTTGTTTTAACAGTATTATGGAAATTTTGGGATGACAAATATATGATCTTGAAGGATTTCTAAAATATAAATGATACTGGACATTTCAACAAAGGTGCAAAAATTAAATCACATATACATCTTTTCAGAATAACCCACAAAAGCAACCTTGCTAGAAATTTCAGATGCATTCATTATTTAGCATAAACTGCCCTATTATAGAAATACTACATGTTCACTAAAAGTTTTACTCGGCATT